CCCCTCACCTCCTTTGTCACGCCTCTGGGCTACCGACTCTTTCTGCAACCTTTCTACTGCTACTCCTTGGCTCCTTCTTACTGCTGTCTTTTAGCCACACCCTTGATCTTCTGGTAGGAAAAATCTACATCTAGCCTTCTCAGACAAGGGCCAAAAATCTTGGAGTGCAAGTTACGCCCCTTAAAGATTCCTTGGTGGTCTAAAATCGATTATAAGAGTATGCTTCGACTGCCACCCAGGCAAAATTCAGTTTCCTTCCAACTGAAAAAAGTTTAAAGTATCCCGCACGCTCATATGAGCTTATGCAGCTGCGGGAATCGTAAAGCATTTACCAAAAAAAAAGAAAAAAAGAAATCTATCATAATAATATAATGCAACATTATTAAGAAGGTAAGGCCCTATTCATCAGTTATGATATCTTTTCACGATACGGTAATTTTTATGACTGAGCCACAGCATTGTGTCACGACACGGTGGAATCAGGAGCTCGTCAATTTTGGGGCAATTGAGCGAAAGGTATCCTCTTAAAGCCTTGCTTTTGATGAAAAAAACCCATTTATCTTGGATACAAGTCAATATATAGGCAATTGAAGAAGGTGGGGGTTGCTTGGTATCCAGAGGTAAAATTAGCAAGAAAATGGCTGCAAAAGATGAGTTATTTCCTTAGCTTGAGAGTCTGTGGAAACTGAAAATTTACCTTTTGTATGCTTTTAATCAATGTTTTTCGGTAAAATTCAAACATAAATTATACGTTCTTGTGTGGGCATGAAAACGGTTGAGCCTAAAAGCCAAAATTTAAGAAAAATTCCCAAACCTGCGAAAAAATGCCAGTTTCTTGACTTTCATTATTTTGACAAGCGCATGATTTCACCACGCTGCCTCATTCCTCTGATTATTATAAAATCACAATCAACATTTGTGCTAGTAATCAAGACTTCTATCTAATTGATTCTAAATTGCAATGAAATTTTGTTGAATTATTTCTAAGTTTAGTCTTAGTACGAATTTTACGGCACTTGCAACACAATAAGGTCATACAAGTGCCAAAGATTAGAGGTGTTACAAGAAAGTAACAAATACAAAGAAGAAGGAGAGGAGATAGAGACGACAGATTTCTTATAGGAAAGAAGGAGTAAACCACACCAGAGCATTCGCCAACTTTTAATATTTCTTTTTGCAGTTCTCCACACATCAGTTTCCACTGATGACAGAACTTAAGGGATACATTCAAATTTTCTATAGATGGGAGGAGGAGAAGAAAGAGAAAAGGGAGACAGATGCAGAGCATGAAACAATACTGTACAAAAAACACAAAAGACATTTTCTGAACATTGACCTTTAACAGAGCACAAATTTAAAATATTTCAAATACAACTCTGCAAAATCGATAACAAATGATTTATTTCAACAAAGTGATAATGGATGTAGAAATAGCAAAAATTTATACAAGCACCTTTACCGCCATCCTAGAAAAAAATACAACTAAAAACCCTACGTTCGGTCAGTATGGGTTGGACAGCATTCAAGAATTCACAGTCACTGTCTCAGTGAGTTGATCCCACACACAATCGCAGACACACACATCACACACACTTTTTTTATACAAGAATCGTTTGTGATGGGCCATTGAAAAAAATAACGACCAACTTCATCAAATTTTGAGAATGAAAAACTGGAAAGAGAGGTTAAATATAGGCTGATTTGCAATGTAGGGGCAGGTATAATATAAACATACAGTCAAGCATGAATATCTCCATGTTCTGGGTTGAAAAATGTGTTCAAGAAATCCATGCTTCAAGCAAACTGTGATATATATGGAAGAAAAAAAAAAAGAAGGAGATTAAAGAAAATCAAGGAAAGAGACTGACTTTTCTTCCGCCATCAAGGAGGGAAAGAGCGAACGCCTTGGTCACTGCTGAAGCAAGAGAAAGGAAGAGAGTGGTGCTGGTGACCTTTATGGCTAAAAATAAAATGCTTTAATGTCAGATCCCAATCCCGACCATCTAACAAACACTGGTCAAAGCAGGCCGCACACCCTTCTTGGGGGGGCTCTCATGGCCTAGAGGTTAAGGTGTTGGCCTCTCATTCAAAGGTCCCAAGTTCGAATCCAGGTAGCGACCGAAAAATTTTCTTCTCTAAAATTGTCTCCTTTTACCTCCTTTCCTGCTCTCTCGCAATTTTCTGTCGTCTGCTTTCGTTTGCACTTTCTGCCCCCACCCCCTCCACTGGGCTCCTGACTTTTTCTGTAGCCTTTTTACTGCTATTCCTTGGCTCATTCTTACAGATGTCTTTCAGCCATATCCCTGATCTTCTGGTAGGAAAGATCTACACCTAGCCTTCTCGGACAAGGGCGAAAAATCACAGAGGTCTCATGAGCAAGTTGCGCACGTTAAAGATCCATTGGTGGTCTAAAATCGAAAAAAGTGGGCTTCGGCAGACACCTGGGCAAAATTCGAAATTTCCTACCAACTGTTTAATGTGTCCCGCACACTCATAAGACCTTATGTAGTTGCGAGCGCCGTAAAACACTTACCAAAAAGAAAAATCAACAAAAAAAAACCTTTCTTGTGAAATCACTAACCACACCTTCATGTTCAAACAACCACACACACACTTGTCCACAGTTTGCTGCAGAGACTTTCAAAGCCTTCGCAACCGCCTGGGATTTCAAACACATTACATCAAGCCCTGGCTACCCCCAATCCAAAGGACTGGCTGAAAAGACTGTCCAGACCGTCAAGCTCATCCTGGATAAAGCCAAAGCTGATAGCCGGAGTGCTATCCTCAGCATCCTGGAATACCGCACAACACCAGTGGATGGCACCACATCAATTGCTCAACTCCTCATGGGGCGACAACTCCGTTTGGTGTTGCCAGCCACCAGTCAACAACTGGAGCCAAAGCCTGTCAGCCACAGCGATTTTTTAAAGACGTAAATACCTCCAGAACAGGCAGAAGAGGTACCACAACCGCAATGCACATAATATGCTGCCACCAGTGGAAACAGGTGACCAAGTCCACATTCAGCTATCAAAAGGGGACAATTCGCAACCTGCTCAAGTCACCGCTAACTGCAAAACACCCCGATCATTCGTCGTTGAAACGAGCAACAGCCATACATACTGGCGCAACCGTCGTTTCATACGCCAATCAGCCCCGAAAAGAACAACGAATGAGTTAAGAAAACAAACATCAACACAAGTCGTCGAACCAACGACCTACGAAACAAGTGTGCACAACCCATACACCACAAGATCAGGACGTATCATACAGCCTCCACAAAAACTCGACATGTAGAGTTGCATTTAGAGGGTTAATTTTCAGTATTATGTTTATAGTGTGAAACTAGGACCTCAGCCTAACAGAAAGTTCAGTGCCCATGTCGGGAGTGTTTTCAGGAACAAACATGTACACAAAGTACATTAGATTAGACAACTACTTCAATAGAACATTCCGTGCCCGCGTCTGGGGAATTTTCATAAAAGATGGATTACTTAAAAATACACCATATATATACACCATTCGAAGTCTCTCTCTCTCTCTCTCTCTCTCTCTCCCTCCCTCCCTCCCTCCCTCCCTCTCTCTCTCTCTCTCTCTCTCTCTCTCTCTCTCTCTCTCTCTCTCTCTCTCTCTCTCTCTCTCTCCAGTAGTCTCCGCCTAAGATCCCACCGCTTACGATCTTGGTTCGCTTAATTAAGATCCCGCTGTTTTAAGAAAACAGAATTATACTATACAAAAGTCACCCCTAAGATCCCGCTCTGATTCACTCTGAAGGTCTACATTCGGCTAAGATCCCGCGTTTCAGATCTTAATTTGCGGAACAAAAACGCGGGTGGGACAGCCGATCAACCAAGAGTGAAAAGTTGAGATCAATAAACTGTCATTCGCGTCGAAGATCAGCCACTATCGTGAATGTGATCACATACATGTTGTAAAACTCGATGAAGCCATACAATGTTTGCCCCAGACGGGATCACACCGGGGTGTGAACTGACCGACACGTTTGTTTTCCCCACACATCGCACTCACACCTGAGCTCTCCCCCTAAACTGACATCACTCACTGGGTGGGTAGGGCCTACACGTTCGCTCCAGGCAGGATCACAATGAACTGTGAACTCTTCCCTGACCACTGCAGAAGTAGTCTCTACTCCAGAATTTGCGAGACAGATTGGGGGAGGGGGGGGGGGGGGGCTCGTTCAGAGATGGAAAGCTATAAATTTTCGACAGGTAAGGGCGAGGGGCAACTGGATAAGCGTAGATCTTGAGACTCATGATAGGATAATAAGTGAAAATGGCACGTCTCATCCCACTATGCACTGTGATAGGTCATCAAGGTTAACCACTCTTAGCTCGCCATACGTCATAAACCCACCAAGCGGTCACGTCAGTTCATTTTAGAGTGGAGGGAGACCATTTTATCGATTGTGAGCCTTAGCATGGGTCACCATAGATTCTCAACTGGGTTCGTCAGTTAAGATCCTGGTTCGCCTAAGATCCCGCATTTCCTTGCTCCCGAGCACAGGGATCTTAGGCGGAGACTACTGTGTGTGTGTGTGTGTATATATATATACATATATATATATATATATATATATATATATATATATATAAAATCTAAGGGAAACAACCCTAGATTTAAAAAAATGTTTTCTTGTGGTGAATGGCCTCTCTTGGGAGTTCCAAGATGTCTGCCCCCTAGGCACAGAGTGCCAATAAAGTTGTGTTTGATTACTCATTGTTCCTTGTCTATTAATTTGTTTGTGAGTCCCCATGAATGAGACGGTAACAAACGTAAAAAAGAAGAAGGTGAGATAAGGACGATAGATGTTTGATAGGAAAGAAGAAACAAACCCCGCCAGAGCACCCGTCAACCACTCATATCAATGCAGGTGCCCAAGAAAACAGTGCTGCCAGTACAAAGAAAAGAATTTAGCAGCTGAGCCTGGGAACTGCATACTGTTCCAGCTATCCACTCTCCTTGAATTCAAGTTAAGCCTGTTTGAGTTATCTCTGTACCACTGTAATTTCGTTTCAAATAAAGAAAATCAAATAAAAACGGAAAATGAAATGTCAGCTCTCCTGCGAGGTGAACTGTGCTGCCATTTTCCTCTGGACGTCTTTTGCCTTTTCGATTTGATCTTTGGTGCAATAGTCCTGAAAACAAACAAAACAGTAAGTGAGTCACATTGGTCATTTCATAATGTCATGCTCTCAAACTTTAAGTAACACACTAAGATAAAACCATGTGAGAGCGTAAATTACCGGTACAGCAATACAGTATAACCCAGATAGATCAAACACAGATTACTCAAAGTAACGCATCCGTCGAACTGTGCCTGTGGTCCTGTTTCTTCTTCTTCTTTATCTTTGTAAGAAAATTATCCGAAGCTCGAACACAAACACGGAAATGTAGAATTAATTACGTCTCTGTAGAGGTCGAAAACCAATACCCTTTGAGGTGCACTTGAGACAAAATAATAATAATTTTCAAAAAGGGAAAAAGACATGGACAGTAAAAGAGGCGGGGTAGGGCTGCATTGTTTCGCCATTGTGTTGTTGATTACTGTTGCGATATGCTTATCTTGTCAAATTGTTTATGTTTTGACAAATTTGAAAAGGCAGCGTTCCATTGGTGCAGACTAAAGACCGCTAACATTGCCCTGCGCAGTTAAACTGTCTTTGTATCGGTAGGCTCATTACCGATTGAACTCGAAAGCGTTGCTCATCGTGTTTCTCATTCTCAATAAGTCAATTTCAAATTCAAGTCAGTAGACATAGATCTAACCTATCTGATCTAGGATAATGGCCGAAAAAAAGAACAATCTATGATCCGACCCAATCTTTGTTGCTTGCCTTGATTTTTCTGACACAGCAAATGCTATAACACTGTTCACGTATCCCTAGAACTACGGATCCCTCGAACTACCAAGGCCAGTCCCAACGAATTCGAGCTATCCGTGTTATACTGTATATGAATAGCAGTGATTGATGGTATTTATACACTTGATGCCCTTATAAACAATTTTGATCATTTAGAAGAAAAGGAGCTTCAACTTCAATTTTGACCATGCCTGTCAGACGCGACCCAGACTTAGTGGGACACATGTAGACACCACTGCATCAGAAAGACGGAGATACTCTATTTACCCCCCCCCTCCCCCAACCTGGGCAGTGCCACTGACTGTAGTGTCTTTAGGCCATTCCCAAAGGGGGAACATTTCTCGTTCTAGCACAGTAGAATTGTAAATGGGCTGATTCATGTCACACTCATAACTGTGCCTGATCTACAACAGGGAACTGCTGCTTTTTCTTTCCTAATCCTTACTATTGTCATTTTCCTCTACTTCTTTTGTATGTTTGTCACTCTCTTGTGACCTGCTATTTCCGAGGTGCCTTGATAGTCGAAGCAGACCTTGTGATGTTGAAGCTAGAGAGGGGAGCAGAGTAAGTCGGATTCCTTGTAAAGACTTCTCAGTTGACACTCACCCCTTGATGCTCATATGACCGTATGCAGTTGCGAGCGCCGCAAAACCGTCTACTATAATAAAAAAAAATTTTAATTTTAATAGACACTCTGTAAAATATCTACCTGAAATGAGAATCAAACTCTTGAGTTTTGATTGTAAGGGGAAGAGCCTGACATTTGCACCAACAGATGCCAGTTGAACAGCAGTTACTTACTCTGCACACAGTGGAGTGTATCAATACATCATGGTCTTCTGCTAACGATTCTAATATATGTGAGGTAGTGTAGTGAAATCTGGCACTCGTCAAAATAATGAAATTCAAGTAACTGGCATTTTTCCGCAGGTTTGGGAATTTTTATCAAATATTTGGTTTTTGGCTCAACAACTTTGATTAAAGGTATAAAAGATGTACATTTTCAGTTTCCATGGACTCTCAAGTAATGGAAATAACTCAAATTCAGCGGTCATTTTCTCGATAATTTTTCCTCTGAAACCAGGATATTTTTTCATCAAAAGCAAGGCAAATGGACAGGCTTTAAGATGATACCAATAACTCCATATGCCCCCAAATTGACGAGCGCCTGATTCCACCACGTCATGACACATATATGACCTATATACCAACTGTCTAACATGTTGCAGCTCCTCACTATAAGTGGAAACCCAAAATAGCTGAATAAGGACAATCTTGACGATAGGTGGGAACCCAAAAAAGATCTAGCTGAATAGGGACAATCTTGACCTCGATCCAGTTTGACAACTGCAACAATCCACAGCACTCCTTAATAGCCGTACAACATTTTTACATTTTCCTAATGCATGTTTGATATGTCTCATAATGAGCTGGTTTCCTAACTGCTACTAATACATTTATATAAATGAGTGCCTGTTTGCAAAAGTGAGGAAAGAATAGCAGAAGGGAGTCTTGGTAGCTCAAACAACTCGATCCATCATTTCAAGCATGTGGTGACATGTTTTATCAAATGGGGAAGCCTGAACAAGAACAAGACACCTAAGGGGTTATTATTTTT